CAATTGACATAGAACCAATTGCTTTTTAGCTAAAACAAGAATCTCGGTCTCACCAAAGTATACTTTGAAACGTCACCCCTTATACTTATAAAATAACTCTCTTTGAGAAACAACTAATAAAAAGCATTAGCAAAACGATTCTCAATAAAGCCCTTAAACATTGATCGATCTTAAAAACTCTTAGTAAATTCTGAATTTACCCCAAATCATTTTAGAAAACTTTTCCAACAGGTTAGAGTAAAAGTAAAAGTTTGACAAAAAGTTTAAAAATTTCCAACTTTTACGGGTGACAACTAAGGATTAACTAATCAAACAATTAAAATTGATGACTATTCTATCAAAATCTGTTCCTAAAAATATATAGACAAAACAATTCCTAAAACGATCATTTCAACCACGAACTCTTACCTCCTCACACTTAAACGGAACCACGCCCTCGTGGTTAATAGTATTTTGGAATTGGAGTTAATGGTTGAAATGCTCACATGCAATTACTAAGTTATCTCAATACTTATAAAATTCAACAATGAAGATTGATATAATAGATAACTATAACATGTAAATATGAAATTATGCATAAAATTTTCTCAAAATGGGTTTAAGAGCCATAATGTGTAATTCCAAAATAAGATCATATAAATATCCAAAAATGATGTTCTAAATGCAGTATTAAGAAATTAGGGATCTCACTATCCCTGACGTTTGCCTTGTTTAGGACCTGCCCCATGCTCAGCCTTGTTCCTTGTTCGCGGGTGTATTCAAGTATTTCCTCCACCTGCCATTGTTGCGTGAGAAGGAGCGTCTCTATGCTCCTTAAGCGAGAGTCTACAGAATCCTGGAATGCAAACATAGCCTGTGAAAGCTCGCGAAGGGTCATGGGAATTGTATGCTGCTTTCTGGGGCGTGCCTCCTTGTCCTCCTTATTATAAGCAATCTGGGTCAGATACCTTGTCGACGGTCGGAACATGCTTGCGGCTTCTGGGAGAACATTGGGGACCATCATACATAATCCCCGGGCCAGAAGTGTAACCATTGGTCCACACAAGACAAACTGGTGGTTGCAAGTTGATTGGGCAAATAAGAATCGAGCCACAAAAGTTGCCAGATTGACTGGTACGCATGCTTCCAGACTCCAGAAAAATAGCATATCAGAATCGAACACCACGTCAGGGCCATGAGAACGGCCGAAATAGCTGTGAGTCAATGCATGGTGTAAAATCCTCCAAGACGGACGCACCCAAATCCTGGCTATGCTTGCTCCACTGTGATATCGTCCATACCGTGAGCTTGCCAGAACTTCCTCACATCGAACTCGGGATCCAACCGATAGGGCAGATTAGCAAATTCCAGGCTCCGCGTTTCATCAAGTGTGTAAAGACCAATCAGCCACCCTAAGTCTGCCACAGTAAGGCTCAGGAGTCGTCACATCAGAGTGAATGTGAGCTTGGTGGTGGAGGTGACTTCAGCTATTGACTTTACTTCCTCTCCGTCATTGAGGAAGCAGAGAGAGCAAAGAAACTCGATGGTGACTTCCAGGCTTGCTGGTGCTTGTAGGAACAGCAAGATCCTCCACTTTGGGTTGTACAGAAACTCGTCGATGGCCTGCCAGTGCCCTAGTTCATC